CAAGCGGAGCTAAATGTGGTACTTTAAGCTGGGTACCATTAAGGATCAGTGATGGTAACACAAGTGCAAAGCTCTCACCTTCTCCCCTAAACTGAGGTATTTGGGGAACCTGCTGGAGCCAGACACGGGGCAAAGGCTTTGATACCACACAGTGCTCCAGGAGCTCCCGGCTGCTGGAATGAGGGGCTGAGCAGGGAGGAAAGAATAAACCTTCAGCAGGGCTGAAATGATGCACTGGCTAGAGGTGGTGATGGGGGGATTGGGGAGCAGCCCCCCGGGTGAGCCCTGCTGCTGGCTCTTCTCAGCATCCCCTGGCAGGGGTGGAATTGGGGTTTCCAGCCAGGGAAAGCTGTGAATAGCACATAAATGAGTGATGAGCCACAAATAACACTTCTATTCACTGTCAAGGGCCGTGTGAGTCGCAGGGGTTGGCTCTGCCTGCAGCCGGACTGGGTTTGGTGAGGAGGATTTTGTGTGTTTCATTTTCCTCACCATGAACTCATAGAATCATGGAATAGGTTTGGGTTGGAAGGGACCTTAAAGCTCATCCAGCCCCAACCCCTGCCATGGCAGGGACACCTTCCACTAGAGCAGGTTGCTCCAAGCCCCTGTGTCCAACCTGGCCTTGAACACTGCCAGGGATGGGGCAGCCACAGCTTCTCTGGGCACCCTGTGCCAGCGCCTCAGCACCCTCCCAGGGAAGAGCTTCTGCCTAAGAGCTCATCTCAGTCTCCCCTCTGGCAGGTTAAAGCCATTCCCCTTGGCCTGTCCCTGCAGGCCCTTGTCCCAAGCCCCTCTCCAGGTTTCCTGCAGCCCCTTTAGGCACTGGAGCTGCTCTAAGGTCCCCCCTTAAGGAGCCTTCTCTTCTCCACGCTGAACAACCCCTACCCATTCCAGATGCCCACATGAAGCACAGGCTGGTTTATGGCTCCTATTTAGAACACCACAAGGAGGATGCCCGAGAGCAGGGAGCTCAAAACCCGGCTCTGCCAGCGCCGCTGGGCATCCTCCATGGGATGAGCCAGGATAGAGCCGGGCATCCTGGCCGTGTCCTGCGCTGTCCGGTGACACCAGAGCCCTGCTGTGCAGCTGAGAGCGGTGGATGCCAGTGCAAGGCCCTGGTCACGAGCTCAGCTATCTTTAGCTGAAGGTATTTATATTCCAGGGCAGCGGCGTGGCGGCCACCGGGCAGGCAGCAAAGGCATCAAAGGAGGCAGGAGGGGGCTGCGCCAGGCGAGCATCGGGTGTTGCCCCACCACGCCTGGGCGAGGATGACCCCAGAGGAGGAAGGCTCGGAGGCAGGGCCCCCGCAGCACGTGCGGATCCGGGTGGAGGAGCAGTCGTTCTGCGTGGAGAAGGCGCTGCTGGTGGAGAGCAGTGAGTACTTCCGTGCCCTGTTCCGCTCGGGCATGAGGGAGAGCACGCAGGAGGAGATCGGGCTGGGGGAGCTGAGCGCCGCCGGGTTCTTCACCATGCTGCGGGTGCTGGCGGGCGAGAGGCCCGTCCTCGGCAGCGAGGAGACCTTCCAGGCGGTCGAGTGCGCCGCTTTCCTGCAGGTGAAGCCCTTGGCCAAGTTCTTGATCAACTCCATCAACTCCGACAACTGCATCCTGCTCTTCCAAGCCGCTGCCATATTCGGCCTCCTGGACCTCTTCCGCTGCGCCGCGCTCTACATCAGGGACAGCTATGCCGAGCTGGAGGAGTACCTGGACTGCCTCCCTGCCGACCTGCTGGCCTATGTGGAATCCCTCCTGCCCAGCACCTTCGTGGCAGTGGGAGCCCATACACCCACCTTCGAGTTCTTAGAGGACCTCTCCAGGACCCTCTGCTACCTGGACGAGGAGACCAACACGTGGAGGACCCTCTCCTGCCTGCCGCTGAGCGCCAGCACGTTCCTAGCCGGCATGGCGACCATGGATAACAAGATCTACATCGTGGGTGGTGTGTACGGGGCCAGCAAGCAGGTGGTGGAGAGCAGCTTCTGCTATGATGCTGACACCAACACATGGAGCGAGTTCCCCAGTCCCCATCAGCTGCGCTACGATGCCAGGCTGGTGGCGCATGAGGGCTTCCTCTATGCCATCGGTGGGGAGTACGAGAAGATCTCACTGAAGTCCGTGGAGAGGTACGACCTGGCCTCCAGCACGTGGACGTTCGTCTCTGACCTGCCGCAGCCCAGCTCAGCAGCGCCCTGTGCCCAAGCCATGGGGCAGATCTTCGTTTGCTTGTGGAAGCCGCTGGACACCACCATCATCTACGAGTACCAGACCCAGCAAGACGTGTGGCTTCCCATCACGGAGCTCAAGCGGCAGCAGAGCTACGGGCACTGCATGGTGGCCCACCGTGACAACCTCTACGTGATGCGCAACGGTCCCTCGGATGACTTCTTGCGCTGCGTCATTGACTGCTTCAACCTGACGTCGCGGCAATGGACCGCGCTGCCCGGGCAGTTCATGAACAACAAAGGAGCCCTGTTCACCGCTGTCATCAAGGGTGACACCATCTACACCGTCAACAAGATGCTGACGCTCCTCTACTCCGTGGAAGAGGGGACCTGGAAGTTCAAGAAGGAGCGGGCAGGTTTCCCACGCAGCGGCTCCCTGCAGACCTTCCTCCTGCGGCTGCCGAGGCGTGACCACAAGATCGCGACGTAGGTGAGCCCCCATCCCACGTCGGGATGCTCTCCTTGCACGTGGCCCTGCCTCGGCTCCCACTGCTCCCCCCTCCCCAGGGCTCCTCTCCTCCTCTGGGGAGTCGTGCTCAGGTCCGGGGATGCTTCATGATGGACCTCAGAGGTGAAGCTAGACTCTATCAGAGGGAAAGGGGCTGCAGGCAGCTGCTGCCTGCCCTGCATGGGCTGTGTATGAAGTCCTACCGGACGTGGGCTCATGAGGCGACCACGTGCAGGGCTTCATGGCTTCTGCAGAGGATGGATACCACAGAGATGCAGACATGGGGTTTATTTATTCTGACCGCATCCTGAAGGTGAGCAGCATCCCATCTCCTCTGCTCCCGTGGGAAATCATCCATTCTACCCTGGAATTAAAAGGAAGGCTATTAAAAGACCCCTGTGCTTGCCGTTACTGCTGGGTTTGGGGTTTTTCTGCCCCCCTTTCTGAAGGAAACACCTCCTCACGGGACCCACGTCAGGGCCCGCTCCTGCCCACTGAGTGCTTTTTCAGCTGTTTCAGAGCCGTACGTGGGAGCGCGGTTCCCACACAGCCCCTGCTCCCTGGGGAGATCTCCACGGCTGCTCCCGGGCACAGCGGGGCCCTGGGAGGAGGAGGAGGAGAGGGGGGAAGGGAAGGAAAGGATTTCCTGGGCACCGGTGCTTAATGCACGGAGGGGTCTGGGGGGGACCCAAAGTCCATTACCCACCCCTCGGCTCTTCCAGGCGCCTCAGGAGCCCCAACACAGACACAACGGGGTGGCTGGGGCAAGTGCTGGTGTTTGTTTTGAACCCAGACACAGTCTTTTGAGGACACAGGAAACCCCGGAAATGCAGAGGATGCTGAAAGGGAAGGAGAGGAGAGAGCAACAGCATTGCATAGCGATGCCAGAGGTCCCATGAGGTACCACTGCCCAGTGCTGATGTCCTCAGCACCAGCTCTGGGGATGGCTGGAAGACACAGACCCCCTCCTTTTGCAACCACAGCACTGCTGAAAGACCCATGGGGACCATGGCTCAGCTGGTTTCTCATCCACAAGGCAGGCTTTGGGCTGCCTGTGCCATCCCGGCAGAGACGGAGCGGTTGGGAATAGCAGCTGGGATGCCTCAATGCCTCTGCTCTGACCCTTGCTGAGTTCTCAGCACTTTCAAAGCAGTTCCCTCAGTTGAGGACAAACCCCACAAAACACAACCACAAACCAAACCAAACAGGAAAACCTCAGCTCGTGCCCATGTCCAGGCTGAAACCCCTTGATGCACCTTGTCCCCGTTTGCCCTCTGCCACTGGGCCAGGCCAACACTGCTCCAGCAGTACTAAGTGATGAGATCAACCTCCCTCCTCCACGCTGTTTGTTGTGACAGGGCAGGGGTTTACAAAGGTATTTGCCAACAAAAGCCTGTAAGTGTAGACCTGCAGAAAGAGCAGGTCTTGGCAGGCACTGTTGAGTATGGCATGGATGCTCCCATGAGTTGTTGGATCCATCAATCCAAACCATGGCTTAGAAAGCAGCACAATGTAGTTCTAGGGAGCAGAAAGATACGGTCCTTATATCTGCAAGCAGGGGATAAAAAGGACGAGCCAGGACCAAGCAAATCCCTAACGAAAGCTGCTCAGGCACTGCACAGTGAGTGGGCACAACTGCAAACGTGCCTCATGTTGCTGGAATTTAGCCCTCAACATCACACATTACTGGCACCACCACGGCACCATTATCTTCCCCTTTCAGTCTGCATGGTGTTTACTCCACCAAAGATCTCAGTTTGAGGCAAAGTGATGTCTTTAATCACAGTTTAACCTTTTGCAAGCTCCTCTTTTAAGGTGACACCATCTTGGCAAGGATGAACAGAAGGAAAAGCTGCCTTAGAATGGACTTGCCTTATAAAGGCCATATCAAAAATAAAAGCTTGTATAACCCAGGGAAAGCTGGAGGAAAAACAGGGCTGGGAGCTCCAAGAAGAGGCTGGGAACTCCCCACGAGCATCTCCTTTGGTCATACAAGGTGCCACATTTTCCTTTTCAATGCCATGAAAGAAGAGCAGGTATAAAGCATCCCTGGGTATGGAGGGGGCTCGGTATGCATCCAGGCTCGGATGAAGGCAGCCCTGGAGGCCTGTGCCCTCCTGCTGGTGTTTGCACCTACCTTGGGACACAGGGAGAAGGAACACGGTGTTTCAGCTCGAGGGCTGGGAGGTTGCTTGGAAGGATACAATGGAAAAATGGCACTAATGCAACTACTTCAGGGTTTCCCCTGCTCGGCTGTGCCAGCTGGCATTTCCATAGGAGACACAAGAACCCCTCCAACCATCTTTACTCGAAGCAATTACATCTGTATCTAATTCACAGGAAAACAATATACCTTAATGTAAAAACACTGCCCACTGTTGCAGTGCCAAGCCAAGAGACACATTCCATGAGGTGACCTGAATCTCCCGTTTTCCATCCTTCAGCTGCATACAAGAATTCCCCTGGGCATCCAGATTTCCTGATCCTGACATTTGTGTTTAACTTCATTTGGAGCTGCTGTTTAGGCAAGCATCCCCTCAATCTTCCTGATTCCTGCAGAGCACGAGGGCAGCCGAGCCGTTCCCAGTCTCTCTGTTCCGACTTTATGGAATTCCCTGAGCACAAACCCTTGTCTAAGCCATTTCTCATCACACTGGATAAACTTCCTGTATTTCTAGAGCAAAGGCAGCCTGGTTTCTTTCTGTATACTCATTGAATTGTGTCTTTTTCTCAAGTTCTTGGTTTAAAAGAGAAGCTGATGTGATCAGACTGGGTATCAATTACAATATCAAACCACAGCTAAGTTGCATGAGACTCTTGCCAAGCCAGGACCAATAAATGCTTCTTCGGGAGCCCTGTTTTCATGAGAGCTGCATCTTCTATTGATTTATAGAACCTTTCAAGCATCCACACTGAACTGCAGTTGAAAACACGACACCCATCACCCCCGGTGGAGGAAGAAAACTGAGCTTTGGGTTTTGCAAAACCTAAGCCGAAGGCAGTTTGGATCTTATCGCATCTAATCTGAAGAGCTGAGATGATCAAGGGGGAAGATGTGTAGGTGAAGAGAGAAACACTCCTGTTAGAAAGCCTTTGCTTTGGTGCAGTGCCACACATGCTTATGGTGGACGTCCATAAACCGGGACTGGACACCAGCCAGTGCTCTGGAGGTTTGTGCCCATGAGCCATGGTGCTGGGGTGGGCGTGGAGCAGCAGAAGGGTAAAGGTGTGCTGACCCACCCGAGTCCTTATGTGGTCCAGACTGAGGGGGAGCTGTGGCTGGGATCCAGGGTGCAGGTCACTGGGCTTTCATCACGAGCTCTTCCAACGCCCTCTCCCTCTGATTGCCACAAAGCAGAAGAACTTCTTTGATTTCATTTTGCTGGAAACCCATATCATTGAACTGAGATAACAGGCGCAAGAATTCAGCTGCCTGGAGGAAGGAGGAAGAGAAAGGAGAGATGCTATCATGGGGTTTAAGGCTGGATTTACCACAGTTACAGCTGAAACAGGGCTGGGTGACGAGGCTGCAGCCGTGCGACCTGGCTGGGTTGTATTACCAGTGAAGGGCACACTGAGAGCAGGCTGAGGGCACACATACCACTGCTAGCATTTAAAAATGTGCCTTTGCATCAGCTTTTGAAATCAGAAATAGTTACTGAAGTGAGGCTCTGGCTTCGCTTATTCCTTGCAAAGTTTAATAGAAATTCCATGCAAGTGTTTGTCTGTGCTATAGAGACTGGGTAAAGGCAGGGAGCACAACCTGGAATCCATTTATCCTGCTCCCCCCTTGCTCAAGCTGGGCCCCAGCACCACGACATCGCCCAGAGCCGTGTCCTCAATAAATAACCCCTTGCCTGACACCGAGCCCCAGGCGCCCTAGAGAGCAATGATTGCGATCCTACATGCATCAGCATCCTGTCAGTCACCACCAGCCCATGTTTCAAGCAGTTCTACCCCTCTTGGCCCTTCATTACCCGCAGGGGGAGACTGATGATGAAGACAACCCCTGGTGTGCTACCATGGTGGTTCTCTTTGGGGGGTGAATGCAAAAGGGGAGCAGGGAGGGAGCAAGCGTGGGTGCTGGTGGGCTCAGAGTGAGGGATTCTTTGCTTGGGGGTTGAGCGAGCATCATGCTTGCACAGTGGGGCGAGAGGAGGGATGGAAAAGAGCAATGAGGTGAGTGTCCTGTGTCCTTCCCTGGGGATTCCTTGTGGTGATGCTGCACTGGGGGTCTGCTGTGGGTGCAGGGCAATGGGTCTGACCTGCCCAGAGGCTGTGTGAGGGACAGTGGAGGTGGAGAGGAGCTTGCAGCCCGCTGGGAAAGCGAGCCCGGAGCACACAGCACAAAGGAATGGGCTGGGCTGCCCCACTCTGACCTTTTTTTCTGAGTACTGGAACATTTCCATGGCCTCCTCCACCTGCCCTTCCTCGTAGCCCTGCTTCAGCAGCCGGTCACAGGCGCTCAGGTAGCTCAGGAACTGCAGAAGAAGACAACCAGGGTTAATCCAACCTTGCGGACGCAGGGAGCGACTGCATTCAGGAGCCCACCTTGTAACCTCCCAGGGGCACACGCATGGGGAGGACCTGGGCCACCACCATCCTGCCTGTGTGGCCCTGTCAGCAGGACTCCCACTGGGAGAAGACGACATCTCAGTCCATCCCCTCTCCCAGGGTGGAACAGGAGGGAGGATGAGGAGCAAACCAAACACCTGACCCATCTGAGGTACGAAGCGATGGCCTCAGGCTGCAGGGTGAAGCAGAACCTGTCCCTGTGAGATGCCTACCCTCAGCCAACCCGGCATCCCTTTGATGCACCACGGTTCAGGCAGCCGAGGGGTTCACTCCAGGGTCCAAGCACAAAACCCACCCCAGGGGAGACCCATGTGTGTCATTACTGAAAGTAAACAGTTATTTTTGGCTTTCCTCGTTGTTCTTGGAGTGCTGACAGCACTATTCCCAGCAGTATCTTTTAAATACCACGAAAATCATTCACTGTCCAAAACCGTATGGAACAGACAATAATAAACGAGCTATATGATAGCAGGGGGAATAAAAACATCCCTCGGGTCTCCCTGAAGCCGTGCTGTCTTCAAGCAAGGAGAAGCTGATTCGTATCTCCCCAGATCCACCAGCACAGACCTCACCCTCCCCAGCACTGCATAGCCAAGGAGAAAGATTCAGTAGAAGATCATAGAACATATGAAAAAGCCAAAAAGTCCCTCAGATGCTGAGTGGATCTGGTTTGGCTGAACAGCAGAGCCAGGAGTTTAAGAAATGTCAGCCTTAAGGAGCAGCTTTTTAACTCAAAATCGAGATCCTCCCTCCCTGTGGCATGCCTAACCTGGTTCTGCTTTCCTTGTTACCCTACTAACTACAAATCCAGACCACTGCTGCATTGTACTGCCCTACCGCAACAGGGACAGCCACTTCCCATGCTCATGGCAGAGCACAGACAGTGCTGGCAGCCTGTTCAAACCCAGCATGAAACTGGTGCTGTTGTCAACTCAATGACTTCTATCATTATATATCTCTATATATGTAGGTATCTCCTTGAGACTAAACAAAACCAGGGTTGTTAAATACTATGACCTGCTAATCCCTGGATCTGCAACCAGCCCCATCACTCACTGGGGAAGAGGAGGAAGCACCACTAACCTCTAGAAGCTCCTTGTCCCCTTGTAGCTCTCAAGGAGGCTCCTTAGAACACTCAGACATTCAGGCACCCCTGGAGAGCAAAGCCTTCAAATGCAATGATGCACTTTTGGTTTAGCTCTTGGCCACAACATCCCAGACCATGAACCTCTGGTGTGTTGGGGCAGCTCCTGGAGCCTTTTAGAGAGGTTCTTTCACCAAGACTGAGAAGGCATTGCCTCTTTTAGGCAGCAGACCTGCCTTCTTCACCAGGGTGGGCTCTGCCAGCTTGATACTGCAGCAGAACTGAGCAGTTTTTGGCTACCATCTGGTACTACAATCAATCTTCAAGGCTGAAGCTGTCATCGTCACACACTGAAACCCTGCCTGACACCAACACGCAATGAAGAATGCCCACAGCTCTTGTTTTTGACTTGAGTTGAAACATTTCCCAGGAAGGTTTAGCCTAATTTGGTAGCTGTTACTTGTAAGAGACACATGAAGGGCTCGGCTTTATGCTTTATCTTGGCTCTATTGGGCATAAATGGGAAAGATGGGAACTGATGGTGAAGAAGATACAGGCTATAAGGCAGACCTCATATTTTGGTGCATTTATCTCTTCTCCAAGGGAATGGGAGTCCTGGTGTTTGTACAGAAGGGAGCAGACTGTGCCTATTTCCATCCTTACTAAGATGCACTGATTCTTGCTACTGAAGCCAGCAGTTGCTACAAGATCCCTTTGCATGGCTCTGCCCATCTCCCTCTGCCTGGATGAAACCTTCATGCACTGAAGAAATAAAGGTTGCCTTCCCACCTCAGCTTGCAGCAACCATCACCTAAAACACCAGTGAGGGCCTGGTCGAGCTGGGGCTGACTCAGGAAGGAGCCAGAAGCTGCAGAGTGACTCAAACACAGAGCAGCTTCATGCACGGACCAGATGGGTTAGAGCTGGCCCACACACAGCACAGGCAAATCCCTGGGGAATGGGAAGGAGATGGCACCCGACAGCACGAGATGGTTGCTCGGTGCTGTGCCTGCTCACACCTCTGCTCCTGCTCCCTGGCACGACAAGCAGGTGGACCTCCCTCTTGCTAAGCTCTGACCAAGCCCCTTCTCTCTCTGCAAGAGCTACTTGGATAATTTAGCCCTATTAAAAGCTCCACTGGGATGGGCAGGTCCAGCCCCGAACCTGCCAAGCCAGTGGCATCCCTCATGACATGGATGCTCCAAGCCCACCTGGACCACTGGACAAGCAGAGACTTCGGAATCGGGATGCTGCACAGTGATGTACTTGGATACCAGGGGCAGGAAGAGGTTGTATGTTAACTATTGTCAATAAATTCCAGGTTATTATAGAACACTCCTTAAGAAAAGAGCTCCAGGACCCAGCCTCGATGCCTGCATGGAGTCCCTGGTTTGCTCCAACGCAGGGAACTTGTGTTTTGGAGAGAGCCCAGACAAATCCCAGAGGTATTCCCACAATTCCACTGACAGGATGAGCCATGGCAATAATCACACGGAACTAACAGCCGGGAAAAAATTATGTGCAACAAGTTTCCATATACAGAGGCAAAAACTGCACTTCAAAAGGGCACGAGGCTCCATGCAGCAGACTGAGCAGATAACGCTGCCCGGCTGTTATGAGCCGCTGAAAGGCTGAGGGCAACTCATTTTATTACAGCACAAGTACAAATGTGTGATCTCATGGCAAACACTGTCAGCTGAGGACAATCCCAAAGTGGGAAACCCAAGGCTGTCAGAGTCCAGCCCCAAGCGATACAGCCATCCCTTTCTCCATGAAAACCAGGGGTTTCCTTCCCAAAGCTGTCTGCTTCCTGCCACCTCCACCAACCTGACTTAAGCTTTGCCTTCCAGTCTTCTGGAGGGTGAGGATGGCTTTGTGGGTGGGGTAGCCCAAGGCTATCACGGGCTCAATGAGGTCTCGCTCCTCTTGGCTCAATGCTGAGAGCAGGTCAGCGGCCGGATCCGGCTGGGATCTGCAGGAGCTGAGGGGTCGTGCAGGCGCAGAGGAGGCAGGGGGGAGGCAGGCGTAGGGGCTGAGGGACTGCAAGAGAAAACACAGCACATGGTCTTCTTACTCCAGCTCATGGAGCTACATTAAGAAACCCAGGCTGAAGCAATGCTTCTGAATGCCAGCAGTTACCTTGTTCTCTCCACAAGAGGAAAATTCCCATACATGGAACAAACCCCCTTGGGCATCAAAGGAGACTGAATTTAATTAAATCCAGGCTCAGCTACAGATACAGATCAGAGAAAACAGCACTTGGGAGGGTTCATGGGAGAAAGCAAGAAAAAGCAACTTCCTTTCCCTGGGAATCCTGCTCATCTCTCCAGCAAGAAAAGCCATGCTTGTCCTTGATGGACAAGGAAGAGGCAGTGCTGCCCACACATAAGCAATGCAGCAGCCCAGGCAGGAGGATGCTCCCAACACCCCATTTTGCCCTTGATGTTTATCAGATAGATTCAGTGTCTGTTACAAAGCCATCTACAGAAATGACCTTGCACACGCATGTGCTTGCTGGGGTTAAGGCTTTAGCACTCAGCATGATGCATGTGGAACCTTACTGAACTTTGTATTATTTAGTGCTCCACATGAAAATGAAATAAGACACCTTGCCTGTTGGGAAAACCAGGGACGTTTCGGTTAGGACAGAGCAAGTAAACATGCTCCCAGAAACCTTCCCTATAAACCCAGGGAAAAAAAAAACCTTTCCTTCACTTCTTATGAAAACTTGTCAGCAATTTCTCATGGATTCAGTGTTCCCAACGCCCCATTTCAGTTCCATGTTGCTGCCCAAACCCCAGCAAATGGGACCAATTTGATGCCCTCCACCTCCCTCCTGTCTGAGCAACAAGCACAGGGCACCAGAAGACAACCCCTCACCGGCACTGTGGGTTTATGCTGTTTGATGGGGGGGATCAGCATGGCTGGAGGCGATGGCACCAGGGTCCCCGGCCGGGACACGTCCAGTGCTGGCCTGAACCTAACGCCACGGCTGGTGTGGGGCTGCAGGGGCAGAGGCTGTGGCACCGGGACCCTGTTCTCCACAGGAGCTCTGTTCAAAGGGTGCACCAAAGCAGCCAGCTTCCTCCTGGCCGCTTCCAGCTCATTCTTCATGTTGTTAAAGATCACCATGGATCTCTTCTGCTTGCTCAGGACCGGGCTGGCTGTGCTGTGGACGCTGCTCTCTGGTGAGGGCTCCAGCAAGCCGGGTGATGTCTTTGGTCTGGTCTGGTGAAAGCCAGGACGCAGAGCCCCGCTTCTCCCAGCGTTTCTCCTCCTGGAACTCTTTTCATCCTTGTCGCTCTCTTCCCAGGAGGTCGAGGAGTACTCATCATCCTCCGAGTACCCATCCTCCTCCGAGCACCAGGTCTCACTCTCAGTGTCGGACAAGGCACCTCTGCCCTTGGCAGGCCCATGGCTGTTGTCAGCAGCGCTCAGGCTGATGCTGCGCCGCACGGGCCCGTCCCGTGCTCTCCCTCCATAGCGGTCAGCAGGGTCCACCAGCAGCAGCCAGCACGGGGGAGCCGTGGGGATGACTTCAGAGGTGACCCGATGGCGGGAGGTTTGCTGCTGAGAGGCCACCTCGACCCAGTAAAGCACTTTTCTTTCCAGCGAGAAGTCGTACTGTGGGAGAGCAAGAAGAGGGTGGTGAGGGCATCTGAAAGCAGACCAGGCAGACAGAGCAACCCATGCACTTCTCCAGGGAACCTTAAGGGCTGCCTCCTTCCCATACTGGCTCCTTGAGCACCAGGGCTGGCTGTGGGCACTGGGACTGTAGGTTTGGGCAGCACCAGCTTCATTGCTATAGGGAATCCCCAAATTTATACTTGAAAAGAGTCTGGCTACAAGGTTATTACTATTTTGAGCTGTACCTGGAAGTGATTTCATAAACCAAGGGGTTTATGCTTGGAGGTGGTTTTGTGTCATTCACTTACTGTGGAAGGGGAGACGGTGCAGACAGGAGATGTGAGAGCCCTGATTTCAGACAGCTGCAAGAGGCACCACATCCAGCCACAGGCTAAAGGGCTGTAGCAGAGCTCGTGTGTGTACCTCGCCCATGGCACCTGACAGAGCCACCTCAACCACAGGGGCTCAGGAGCCAACAGAGGGGGAGCTGCCACCTTGGGCAGAGGCAGGATAAGCCATGGGAGTCTCCGATGGCGCCAGGGGCTCGGCTGGTCCCCAGACAGAGCTGTCATTTCCACATAGTCCAGCTTAAAATATGTGTTTGAGACTGAAATCAGAGGGTTTTCCTGGGACAAACAAGCCTGGCCTCTCCCAGAGCTCTCCAAACAAGGTCTCCTCCAGAGGGGCAGGCAAGTACATTCACAACCCAGGAATGCTGTTTTTACTGCTCCCTGCCACTTGTTAGCTGTGGATCCAAACCAGCCTCCCCAAGGAAAACACCACCACATGCTTCCAGAAGGATCAGCCCAGGCCACCAGTGTGATCACACCAGCACCAACCAGGCAAAAACCCAGGGCTGGAGGTTTCCCAGGGTAAGACGGAATGGTGGATGGTCCATGGGGATGCAGATCATCACCTGCCTTTATGCAGGTGGCAAAAAGCATGTGCATTGAAATTCCCTTTGGAAAAATTGATTAAAATGAACAACATGGTGGTTCTTCATGTTAAACACATCCTGTGGATTTGGGATGTGTCATTTTGGGGGGAAGGACGAGCAAGACTGAGCTAGGGAAAAGCCAGATATGAGGTTTACCACTGGTTCACCCACCACCAGGGGTGAGCAGAGGCTGTTTGGGATCACCCAGATCACCTTCCCACGTGAAGTGCACTGACCCCATCTACGGGTGACACTACTTCAGGCTAAACACTCACAATATTGTTACAGCAGCAGGTGTAGATTCAAAAGCAGTTTAGGACTCAGCAATGTGGAAGATCACAAAGTGACACAGGATAGGTCTAGTGGAAGGTGTCCCTGCCTGTACGACGGGGCTGGAACTAGATAAGCATTCAGATCCCTACCAACCCAAGCCATTCTGTGATTCTATGCTGCAGCTCAGGTAGTGTTGCCTGCTTGTATCTGTCATATTTATTAATAAATATTCAATACATATTATTAATAAATGGGATCCTTCTGCTTGGATGTGATTAAGAAAAATCAACCCCAAACCAACCCCTTCCTCACTCCCACCCAGCACAAATGATCCTCACCTCCTCCCACTCCTGCTGCAAACCAGAAGATCAATTAGGAGGAGAGGATTCCCTCCTTTCACAAGGAAACCACCACTGACATCCCTTTGAGCATCCCTCCAGGAGCAGATCTGGGCACAGAGGCAAGCAGAGGCCACTCACCATGGTGCTCATGAGGATGTCGGTGCAGTCGGGGACCTCGATGGCCGGAGCAGTGATTAAAGTGATTTCTCCCCCTGAGTCCCCATCGAGGCTCCAGCCCTTGCGGAAGGGAACTTCATCCAGGTAGCTCATCACTGCTGCCTGACTACTGTCTGCTGGAGGAAGGGATGAAACACAACTGTAGAAGGTGCTGGTCGTGCCTTTTAAGTTGGGTGGAAGGAGAGAAGGATGAGCTGTGTCAAGTGACAATGATAAAAGGAAAACAGCCCTTAAAGATGCTGCCACCTGAGTAAAAACCATGGTGTGTAATGCCTTTAATTACTGATACTGGGAAGATTTGTCTGAACTAACCTTTGCTATTCTGAGCTTGAGCCAGCAGGACCTGACCAACTTTCAGCTTTCTTTGGAAGAGATCCTTAGTGTTTTTCACCCCTGCTTTCCATCCCTCCTCCCGCCTCTCCCTCTCCCTCCAGTGCCCATCTCATGGTCCCTTTCCCAAGCTGGGGACAGACCGAGCACTTTTCCCAGGTCCAGAAGCAGAAACCACAGCCAAGGAGGCCACAGGACACCCCGCAGGTTTTCTTTCTCTATGTGACCTGAGCACACCCTTGCTCCCAGAGCTCACACACATGGCCACGTGTTGCTAAGCTGTCACACAGATCAGCCCAGGGGGACGGTGTGAGGGCATCCCCACCAGTGCCACAACAGCTTACCCTGAGCCAGGCCAGGAGGCTGGGGCACAGGCAAGCTCTGGAGTCAGAAGGGTATCAAACAAGCCATTGTAAAAGCCCAATTAGCTTTTAAGAACCATCTGTTCATCAAGTGTGGTGAATTCTTTAGGTCACTAAAGAGAAACATTTCTGATCAGCTGGAAGTGGTGGCATGGAAAATATTACTGCAGGAAGTCATTAGCTCTGTATAAATGTCTCAATTTAGTACAAAGCCATTAGTTGCTGCATGAAACTTCGAGTCCCCAGCTTCCCAGCAATGACAGCATGCAAAATGATTTCCTTTATGTACTGGCAAGAGCTGGTCAGCCTTCCACTGAGTCCTGGTACCTGCTGCCTGTGCCTGTTCACCCCAAGTCTCAGCAGTCATCCCCAAGACACACACTCAATACTTGGTGAGATGTCTCTAAGTGCTTTTACCAATTGTTTTCTCACCTCTGAAAAGAAATGGCTTCTATGACAAGGAGGATAGAAAAGAAAAGAAGCAGACGAATACATGAAAGGGAGGAAAAGCTGCCTGTTGACTGCAAAAACAGAGGTCTGCCATGGGAAATGGCACTCAGGGTAGTTTCTTATGCTAGCAAAGGACTAACAAACAGCTTCCAGACCACAAACACCAACATGCACAATTGCTCAGTGCAAGTCAGTTGCTCTTACCAGAGTTACAAGAGTTGGCATTCAGCTGCTTACACCAGGAGCCTTTAATACCCAGGGCTGTGTGCAGGCAGAGCCCCCCTTAACATGCTTTGTAGCTCCCACACATGAGCTGCTGCTCACATGCAACACAGGCAACGTGCTGGGAGCCTGCTCCAAGCCAGGCCATCTGCTCCCCAGCCTAAGAGGGCTCAGGGAAGTTACAATCCACGTCAGCACTGACAAAGACAATGATGAAAACCTCTGTAAGCAAAGCCACCGTCCCCCAGCTTGCTCCAGCTCCTCTGCATGGCTGTGCAGCCCCTGCCTGCAAGAGGAACAGACCCTCCTTGCAGTTCAAACTGTGAATCAGCTCCTCCTAAAAGCTGTGTGGTACAAAAGTGTGAAGGAAAGGGACTATCTCATTGTCCATCACCTAGAATGGCTTTACTTGGGTTTAAATGCCACTTTAAGGGATGGAGATGGGTAGTGAATGTGTCTGAAGCCATGATAGAGAGGTTACAGTACCGTATCTCCCTGCATAAATACCGTGCCACAGGAAAAGCTCCTACAAGTGTTAATTCCCAAAACCACTATATATCAAAACCAGAAGTACACTAAGGTGCAGAGCAATGACAATGAACACAGCACTAGACAAGAGTAAAAGAGTCAGTCACAAACACCAACTTACAGCAGAAAGCAGCTCCTGTGAAGGTTCTAACCACAGGCACTCCACGCCAGCCCTGCTCACCTTCAAGTCAAAGATACGGGCTGGCAAACCAACATAAAGAGTCTCAGAAACTCAGAGCCAGCCCCTCTATTTTGCTGTGCTGTAATAGTTTTTACAACTTGAAAATAGTTAGAAAGATTAAACTGAACAAATCTGAATCATACGTCTGAATACACAAGGGGTTTTTAAGAATACCCTGTCTGCACGTGTTTTATGAGTTAAGATTTCCAACACTCCTCTTCCATCTGTGGTTTCAACATCTTCCTCACTAAAAATATGAAACATTTGAATGCAGACGTCATTAGGCAAGAGCAAATACGTCGAATAAACCACAGGAAGCTTGTGTTACATCTAAACACACACCATCCACTGGTGTTTCCAAGCCCTGTTTGTATTAGCAATAGGAAGTTATCTTACCTCCAGCTGAAGTCATGCAGCTCTCCTTGCAGGCAGGAGAACAGGGCTGCTCCTCTACTGCTGGCTTATCTGCTGCTCAGTTCCTTAAATCTTTCAGTGTCAGGCAGGCATCTGACTGTGGCAGTTTTAAGATTATCATAGCTTAAGTGGTTAGCCCCATCAGACATGCTGCTGGGATAAGGAGCCTAATTGTTTAAGCAGAGCATCATGCAGGCACTGAGCTTCCTGAACTGAAGGAGCTGTTTCTGCAACTGTTTTCACACTACTTGAACTGCTGTTTTTCCATCAGGTGACACTGTCCAGGATCTGACCCAGCCATAGGTTTGGGATTAACAAGATTCTGGAGGTGATATTAGGGATTTGAGGATGGACAGGCAAATCAGAACCCCTACCACCTGAGGACTTATCAGCTGGATGTTGTTGTGCTGTAGGTAGGTGATACATGAGAGCATGAACTGCAAACTTCTGCACACAGATTAATTTTAACTCTATCAAAACCAAATAGTTTGTGCGCTTGTATCAACAGAAACCAATGCCAAAAAAAAACTATTTGCATCATATATAAGGCCCAAGTGTTGAATTCAGGCATGTTGCCTCCTCCATGAATTAGACAATGTTGTGATGTAAAGGGGTAAGGGAGAGATTAAATCCATGCCCACATATTAGACCTAAGCAAAAATAACAACTGCAGCTCTGGAAAGATGCCACAACAATTGGCATAGACCAGCAAAGCCTCAAACCCATAGAGCCTGCAAATTGCCCAGGACATGGAAGGCTTTGGAATCAGATGCCTCTGTCACCTTGTCGGAGGGAGAAGTTCCTTCACACAAACCATTTGCCAGCAATTCTCTCCACACTGGAGTCATACTTGATGCCAAGTACTAAATCAGCTCTCTCCCTCGGAGGAAAAACACTTCAAACAAGAAAACATAAATTCCATTTTCCTCTATTTATTCTGTACAAAACCCCAACTTACAAAATAGAGCTGCACTTTTAAATCAAGTATTAGACACATGAGCTGTCCCTATACAAAAATAGCTGTATAGGCAAAACCAATTACCATGAGCTAGACTCCAGATTTCACTGTTTGTTTTCCAGGAGGCTTGTTCACTGAATTCATCTATATTCACATGGTTCTCTGACCTATTTCACCATGACCAGGAATTCTTTCCATGTTGTGGTACCAGTTTTAGTCCACAAAAGTAAAATGTCAACAACTGCTTTAATCAACCTTCAAAAGCCCTGTCTTGTTTGTACTTCACCATTTGTTTAAGCTTGTAATGGGTTGGTTTCTACACACAAAAATACAGGAACTGTTTTGACAGCGAAGCTTGACAGGCTTTATTTAAGAAGAAAAACATGTTTTCTAATGATTTCTTTTTTCCCCTGAAGTCTTTATTTCTGGAGATTTCATCATCTGGACTTAGGCTTGTAAAGATAAAAGCCACTAAAAATAGGATGTTAATACTGGCACAAATACTCCTGTCAGCAATGTTTCTTTATTAAGATTGAGATTTGTTAGCAAAACCTGGCAGCAGGATTGTAATTCCACACCATGAGAGGCCCAGCAGCTTTGGCCTTGCTCAGGTATCTCCCAGCAGAGTCAGGTGGCAAAACCAGTTCCTATTCTTCGAGACATTCCAGAACCCAGCTAGTGAAACAGAGGATGAGACACGTCCTCTTCAGACCCTCTCATCCCAGCACGCGCCATGACAATGAAACATTCCTCCAATATCATCTACTACTGAGTCATCGAACAGCGGTGGCCCAAGTGTCATTTGTGGGGAGACTCGGAAGAACCCATCCTGGAGGGATGCTGCTTCCTTCAGGGTGATCAGCTGGCACCAAGTACTGATCCCATTCATGCCTTTAACAGAGAGAGCACTGGATCAGAGGAGGGCTGGTAGGAGTTTGGTAATAAGATTTATCGTATACCCACACAGGTATCTTTCCATACGGATCAATACATGGAACACTGTAAACTGTTCCATGACAGGGAAGCCTGCCATGTGAGGAAAGGCTGAGAGCTGGGTTTGTTCAGCCTAGAGAAAAGAAGGTTCAGGGGAGACATTATCCCCATGTTCCAGTATTTAATGGGTGGCTACAAAGAGGATGGAGACTCCATTTTCACAAGGAGTCACATGGAAAAGACATGGGGTAGGGAGCACAAGTTACTCCTGGGGAGATTCCAACTGGACACAAGAACATTTTTTGCCACGAGAACAACCAGCCATTGGAATAATCTCCCCAGGGAAGTGGTGGACTCCCGTGTTGGACACTTGATATTCGGCTGGACACGCTGCTGGGACCTCTAGTCTAGGTCACGCTTTGCCTAGAAAGCTTGGACCAGATGATCCTTGAGTCCCTTCCAACCTAGAGGGATGGGACTGTAAATTTTACAATCTTAACAAACAATACTTGCCGCCCTTGATAATAGAGTTTGCTTGGTTTTACCTGATCTGGATTAGAGCTGCTACAGAATGCTCAGCTTGTAAGTAATAGTCTCGGAAGGGCTGCAGTAGATGGGCTAGAGGAAATTCATCTGTTAAAACACAAACAGAGAAATTGTTCAACAAACCAGAAAGACTGATTCTAGTAAGTCCTGGAAGCCCCAGATTTGTCAGCTCACTTGCTACTCCCCAGCTCCAACTTGAAATGAAATCCCTGTGTAATCTGTTAAGGACTAGTTACATGTTTTGCATGTCTCCTCATCAGAGCTGTCAGAGGCAAGTCAAGACCAGCAGTACTTTTCCTGTCTCCATCTTCTAAACAAGGGGAACATATGGCCACTGAATCGTTACAGATTACTCGAGTCGCACTTTACCAAATCACCAGACTGAAGCATCTGCTGGGTGCTGGAAGTCTTCAGTCTCGTGTTTAGTCTCACTTTAGCTTAATCTACAACCTCTTCTTGCAAAGCATTATGAAATTGTCTTGAAATACACCAGAGTCTACGCTGAGGAGCATCACGTGTGTTAATAGCACACTGTGTTTATCCCATCCTTTCCTCGGACCATATTTTATTCCAGTGGATGATTTCTTTCTTTCTTTCTTTCTTATCTTTGTGCCTGCATTTTAAAAACCCAGTGTCTATGGGGTGGGGGTGTGGTGTGAAAAAAACATGTCAAGTATAGGATGCAGAATTTACCTGGATCCCCAAACAGCTTGGAATCCATTTCGAGTTTCTGCTGAAGTAGTTTTTCTCTTTCTTTCTTCTGTTTCTTTTCCATCTCTCTCTTCCTTTCCTCCTCCTGTTCTCCCTCCAGCATAACTCTTAACGCTCTCTCCTCAGCTTCATACAGCTCTGTGCGATTCTGGAGCAACGTTTTGAGACTCTCCACCTGAGTTTCAAAGGCTTCATCTGCCGAGGGGGGAGGACAAACACCTGAACAGAAAGAGAATTCATTTTGAACTTTTGCATTCATAAGGGGCTCTGTTACCAGATTTGAGAGAGGAGCTGGAACATGAGCCCAGCCTTGCTAACAACCATCTTAGTGGCATAATTCTTCTACTAGGAAAGAGCTTGGAGACACAGGAACACAACCACTGAATTCACAGCATCACAGAATAGTTAGGGTTGGAACGGACCTTAAGATCATCCAGTTCCACACCTCCCACTAAACCAGGTCACCAAGGCTCTGTCCAACCTGGCCTTGAACACTGCCAGGGATGGAGCATTCAAAACCTCCCTGGGCAACCCATTCCAGTGCCTCCCCACGCTTACAGTAAAGAACTTCTTCCTTATATATAAACTTCCCCTGTTTAAGTTTCAGCAGCTTAACACTATTCTTGCATAACAACGTAACTAAAATCACTAATGAACAGCTTTTTCAAGCTGCACCTTGCCAACTGGCACAGGGCACTCACATCAGCTTATGTCCTGTGTGTGCAATTAGAAGTTTGGTAAAAACCTCATCATTAACCTTTCCTGGCAGCAGCCTCTTTCCTCAGTTTCCGAAGCTTCTCCAATGCGCGCAGGATGTCCACCATCCTCTTGGTGTCTGCTTGTTTCTTCCGTACTTCAGATAAGACACTGTCTGCAGCAGCCTTAAGTTCTCGTTCCTGTGAAAGAGAGAAAAACCCAGACCTGATGTGTGACATATCCCACAGACAAGAATGAAATGGTACTTTCAAACAGATCACTGGATATAACAGTAACTTCCCAGTGACTTTGCAGCCATAGCAAGTGAAACAAGTGAAATCACCCATCCAACCCTGCCTTTTGATTAAAAAGCTAAAACATGGTAGACTTTTAGAGACAACAAAAGAATACTGAGCAACTCCTAAATTCAAGCCAAACGGCTATTGAATTCACAAAGCCAGATAACCAGCCTTTCACCACACAAAGTCAGGAACAACATTAACCATACACATAAACCATCCTCATTCTACAGCTCGGCAACTGAACACCATTAATGTGCCACAGACCGAACACAAAACCCTTCCCGAGAGCTGCTCTGTGCCACCCCGGCAGCAGACCCAGCACCAGCAGAGGGGTAGCTCTTTAGCCACCAATCAACACAAAGGTGCCAACAGCACTTCCCAGCAAGCCTAATGCGAGGGGGTTTTAATCCTTTGGCGCCACTGTACTTCCTGGTAATAGTGAAACGCTTGCAAACAAGCTTTGCAGGACGAAGCCAGCAGGCAAGGGTTATGGTTACTGGGATGGCACTGACCACCATAAGCTGTGTGTGAGCAGTGAGGGCAGGCTTAGGACCAGAAAGACTTTCACATCCAGCCAAGAGTTCAGAATCCAGTTAAATTCTGACTGTGAAGGCCTACTACAAGAGTGTGGCAAAGCCCAAGGCTTTCAATGAAGAAACAGGGCTGCAAGCCTTGGAAACCGCACATCTCCAGCACGCTGGACCCATGCAGCAACCTAAATCCAGGTGCCGGCAGACACAGCCCTGCTGTGAGCCCATGACCAACAGGTCTCCCCCAGCTCCACCACCTTGCCCGGAGCCCAGAGGGGCTCGCAGCAGTCCCCGTAAGGCCACAGTACAGCTGGGGTAGGAGACTGAGCCCGCTCGGAGCCGTACCCGGTTCTTCTCCTCCACCTCCTGGATGCACTTGGCTCTCCACTGGTCGATCTTGGCCTCCCGCTCGGCGGCCCGGGCCTTCTCCTCCTCCTTGGCCGCCCTGGCCTCCTGCTTCCTCCGCTGCAGCCGCTGCCTCCTCTTCCTCGCCCTCTCAAGCTTCCTCCGCAGCGCCTCCCGGTAGCCGGGCTCCCTCAGGGGCCGCACGACCTCCCGCAGCTCCTGCCGCGCCGCCTCCGCCTCCTCCCGCACCCGGGCCCAGCCCGCCTCGTCCGCCTCGGCCTCCCGCTGCCGCAGGGCCCCGCAGAGCGCGGCCAGCCGCGCCACCCGGCCCAGCGCCGCCACCGCCAGCTCCCGGGCGCTGCTGGGGCTGGCGGCCGCGGGCGGCGGCGGCGGAGGGGGAGCGGCCTGGCGCCGGCTCAGGAACTGCGACAGCCACAGCTCGTCCTGCTGCCGCCGCGCCGCCTCCTCCTCACCCACCGGCCGCGGCG